ATATATATATATATATATATATATATATATGTCGTTTTTTGACGTACAAAAAAACGACATTATTACGTCATTGTTTTTGCAAAAAACCTAATATATATATATATATATATATATATATATATATATATATATATATATATATATATATATATATATGTGTGTGTGTGTGTGTGTGTGTGTGTGTGTGTGTGTGTGTAAGGGAGAGATTATAGTTGTTCCAGCGATAGAAAAGTGTATACATTAAAGAGAGAAGACGCCGTAAACGTTTTTGGTTATAATGTGGATTTTTTTAATATTATATTTTATTTTCCGTATTTTTGCTACGCGTGTTTCAGGTCTTGTGACCTTCATCAGACAAAGAATGATTATTTCCACATATTATTTAAAGGAATTAGTTTGTTTTTATGTTGAATCTTTAAAGCATTGTCTTATATGTGTAGTAGTAATCCCAAATCATCTTGGATTAGTGGAACAGTGACCCTTTTTGCTTAATGGATAATGCTTTGAGATATTGAGATAACGACGTTAGGCAGATATTTTTCTTATTTTCAGTGTACGCACGCGCGCGTGTGCATGTGTGTATGTGCGTATGTATCCAATATCAGTGTTACTTCTCCTTTTTATCATTTTCTCTTCTCTTTATACTCTCTCATTAGTCCCCTACTTTCTTTTTTCTCTTTCGGCTCCGTGTGTGTGTGTGTGTGTGTGTGTGTGTGTGTGTGTGTGTGTGTGTGTGTGTGTGTGTGTGTTGTGTGTGTGTGTGTGTGTGTGTCCGCACGTTTTTGTGTGTGTCAGTATAGTTGGATAAAAAATTCGACATAGTAAATATGTATGACAATTTGGAAAATGTCTAGTTTTTGCATAAAGAACCGACATCGTCAATAAAAGAATTTTATTTCAACAAATTCTACATTAACGAAAATAAAAACGTAATGTAAAAGAGAGAACTAATTTTTTTTTTAATCATTTCATCCCAAGCAAGATGGTAATGCCACTAAGACGCAAGGGATTACTGTGACTGAAAGAGAATGAGAAGACTTTAACAAGAAGAAAGGACAATAAAAGAAAAGGTTTCTGGATGACTTGAGATATCGATTGGTGGCGTATTTAAATTTTCGAAGAATATAGGTGACAGGGGAAACAAAAAGCGGGAAGTTGAGTTCCACAGGCGAGAAGTGCCAGAAAAGAAACTATTAGAATAGAACTTACAGTTGCACCTAGCTATTTGAACAGTAAATTGGTGAGACCTAGTTGCCAATCTAGTAGTACGAATAGTCGAAGTACCAAAGAGGACAGACATTCAGAACAATTTCTATGAAAATATTTATAGAAATAATAAAGGGACGCAACATCACGGCGGTGAAAAAGTGACTGAAGTCGAGATGTTATGTTAGTACCGATTACATTACAGACCCTCCTTTGAATTTTATCGAGAATCTCATGAGATAGACGGAGCACCAGACCAGATATAGCAGTAATAATCAACACACAGACGAATGATTTATAAATGTGCAATATAAAATTGTCTGGAACAACACAAGGAAGCAATATTCCTATCAGTAGATCTAGCAGTTGATTCAATATAATCACTCCATTTCATGTCAGTGGAAAATATGAGCCCAAGAAGGTGCAAAGACCTGCTCTCTCACAGGTTAGCATTAGCCATGAAGGTAGAAAAGATTCTTGTTCGGGATTAAATGGTATTAATTATACTTATAAGGCACTAAAATTTACAGGCCATTTCTTACCCCAGTTAACAACTGATTGAAGGTCATTTTCGAGAGCAGCTACCATTTTTACTTTGTCGTACCTATCGGACTTACTATTAAGACATGAGTAAATAGATGTGTCACCAGCATACATAACTAGTTTGTAACTGATGAGAAATTTAGTAATAACTGTAAACACATTACAAGTATGCCCAGAGAAGGGAAAGTCATACTGTTTATCCAAAAGAAGGTGAAGTGGGATGCTTAACAAATTCGACTTTGATTAGAGCCTCTAATACATGGCTAAGATAATTGTAGTAATCAGAAGATTCACCAGAGACTGGAACTACAAAGGAGGATTTCCAAATATTATGGAGTTTGAAGAGAACAGGAACCAGTTCAGGAGCAAATTTCCTTAGGAGGTAAAAATAAAAATTGCAGATTGATTATTTTAAAACGTTAATAATAAAAAAATATAACTAAGTTATCTCCCTTACATATTCTTAACGTTAATTTTTAAATTAACTACAACGGGGCGCGTTTCATACGCATTTAAAAGAAAAATTCACAAGCATCAATTACATTAATTTTTTGTCTTGGCAATTGGCCCCTTGGATGAGATTGAAAGTACTTAGGAAAATAAAAGAAATAACCAAAACTTCGGCTTCGTTCTTAATCAGTTTTGCAACAACATTAAGATATTGATCCGTGAATTTAAGAGAATTAAAATAAAAACAAACATAATATATCTAGATTGTTCAACCAACCATGCTTGAAGGAAGATATGGTGTTTAAATATATATATATATATATATGTATATATATGTGTGTGTGTGTGTATGTGTGTGTGTGTGTGTGCGTGAGTTGCGCGCATGTGCGTAGGAGAGAGAGAGGGTAAAGAGAGGCTCTGTTCGTAACTTTTTTCCAAGCTATCACTATTCAGTCGTGTATCAAAAATTAAATTCCCTAAAAACTTTCATGACGAAATTTTCTTTTCCGTTTTCTTTTTTTAAGAACTCGTTCCTTTTTCCTGGCAAATGTCTTCTCTCCGATACACGGTAAACTTTTAATCAGTTCAATATTCTATATCGTTATTTTTGCTTTTCCATATCATTCGTTGCGTACAGCACTTTGGTCGGAATTATGACAAGTAAGTATACGAGAAAGCGTTGTGGTAGTATATTCTATATAGGATTATTTTTTATTCTTTTTAGTGAAAGAATCTTCGATAGAGCAAATGAATACGTAAACATTATTCACCTTCTTTAGAGAATTTGATTTTAATGAACTTTTCTTAGAAACTACTAAGTAAAGATTTTTAACCTTTTTTATAGTAGATAATAAACTATAAATATTCATGACTATCTGTAGGCTTAATGCAATATATCAGACCAATTGTGTTTACTATTTCACTTACCTTATAACAAAAGCGACATTTTATATAGGGTATACGGATATACAACCTCAATTTGTATGCATAGATACGCTTGTCATAATTCCGACAAAAGTGCTATATGGCAACACAGGATATAGAAACACAATAATTACAATAAGACGTCTCCTTGTAAATAACTATAAGATAGCTCCTTGTAAATAACACAATATTCAGCAAAACCAACTGCAAACAACGATTACAAATTTTAGAAGCTATGCAAATTAAGCCAAAACAAACAATAATCAAGAAAATCGAGTGTGATTCTGGAATAGGTAGTTAAATGTATTTCAATTCTTAAAATCCACATTGCATCACGTTCATGCGGCACCAAAGTTTTAAACATTTAAAATAATATCACGCCAACAAAAAACATCACAGAAAAAAACTTAAAATTCTTTCACGTAAGTATGACACAGGTTTGAATCCCACCAAAAGACTAGTTCCCTAAGGTATGTGAACGAAAATTATACTGTTTAAAAAACAAAGATGTCTACTCAAACAGATGTACAGTAAATATAACGTATAAGAAATATATACGATGGGGATTGAGGGCTTCTGTAAGGTTTCAGCACCCTCTCGTATATACAGGGTGTCCATAAAGTTCGTGTGCACTTTAAAAACTTTATAACTTTATTTGTATTTGCGATAGAAATAATTTGTAAAAAAGGATTAGAAAGAAGTAAATCTATATTTTTTAAAGGTTTTATTGAAATTTTATTTAAGTTTCCACATGTCCCCCATCATTAGCAATACAAAGGGTAATACTATTTTGCACTTCACGGAAAACATTTGCCAACTGATTTACAGTAATGCCTGAAATCACATTAGTCATTTTAGCTATACTCACAATATACTCGCTACTTCGTAGCAGAGAATGACTAATAGAAAAACACCCAGAGAAGTGGACAGCGTGGCGTGGAATACACACTATTAGGCAATGTGTGGCCCGAAAAGGATTCAATGGAAATAGCGGGAACAAATATTGCCACGACAGAATCAGTAACATCTTTCGGTTAACCTCACATCCTCCTGGCATCAGTCTAAACTATGGGTCACCAAACTTTTTCACAGATGGCCAGATAACTGAATGAATGACGAGCGCGGTCCGGATAACCATTTGGTTCAATACAATGCACTGAATGCACAAAAAATAAAGACAACACAATTATTTTCTAAAAAGTTTATCCAAGAAGGCGTCAATAGCAATAAAATAGTTATATCACACCAAGTGCACACATATCCGAATCTCACAAACTAAGCAGCACAAAAGGTTAGTGAGATTTGTAAAAGTGGCGTTTACCTTTTAAGATATAATTAATATTTGTTTTAGTATTACTGCATCCAACCAAGAGAAATGCTTTTAAATGTTCGTCAGTCAATCTCGTTACATGTGCTGACTTTACATACTTTAGATTTTATAATAAGTTCAGGCAAAATATATGACATAATTCGCTGAAGTCAGTCCTTTTTATATACGGCACTCTTCAAACCGGTTTAAACATGGCAATGCAAGTTAGACTATAAACTAACGCCTTAGTTTTTTCCATTTATTACATTCATTTTGCTTAAAATTCGCATTTTCTCAATTTCAAATGAAAACTTGACATTCCAAAAATATAGTGCATAATTACAGTTCAGATATATGGAAAAAAGAATCAGCAATATTATTGGTTAACATTTACTTTTCTGAATTCCCATTTGCTTTTATTTTCTGTTAAAAGCGTTAGACCTGGTAATAGATAGATAGATAGATAGATAGATAGATAGATAGATAGATAGATAGATAGATAGATATAAAAGTGAACATAGAAGTCAACACTTAGAGGCGACAGTCTGTTTCATGCTAAACGCAATCGTCAGGCCACATAGATAGATAGATAGATAGATAGATAGATAGATAGATAGATATAAAAGTGAACATAGAAGTTAACACTTAGAGTCGACAGTCTGTTTCATGCTAGACGCAATCGTTAGGCCACCTAAATAGATAGATAGATAGATAGTAACCGTGCTACTAACTATAGTATAGTATCTACCAACCATTTTCTACTATAGTATGATACCTACTATCCATATTCTACTATGGTATGATATTTACTAACTGTTGGAAGTATGAAATATTCTAAAAACAATTAAAGGAGTATAATAAACAGTTTTTAGTGTAAAATTCATACCAGTCAGTTATCGTATTAGGTGACTTTCCAGGAAAATTTACTATACGACTCATCGGGATTTTGTGAACAAAATAATATGCTAATTCTAAAATTTCACACATTTTGTAATGGAATTACATAAATACGCTATTTATTAATACAAATTAGATAAATACCCCATTCGTTCGATTAAAATAATACTGCGTGTAGTTTGTGGAATTAATTGCTGTAGGCCGTGAGTTGTTTGGTAGTGTGCATCGTCATTTACTATAGTAGCACGGATACAAACAGTGTAATAGATAGATAGATAGATAGATAGATAGATAGATAGATAGATAGATAGATAGATAATTAACATACAGTGATAGATAGATAGATAGATAGATAGATAGATAGATAGATAGATAGATAGATAGATAGATAGATAGATAGATAGATCAACATAGCTAGGACCTGCCATGCCACGTACACATGATTGTCTCGTATTCCATTTGTAAGGATGAAACTTCACTCAGCGACCTCTCTCCCTTGAACTGTTACGTTTTGAAAGAAACCCCCAAAAGTATGTTTCTTCGATCACTACGATCATTCAAGTCTAGAGTCAATCGTAAACTATACTACATATCCCCATAATACACACTTCTTAATTCCATAATTTACACACTTACAACAATCTCATTCAATAATCCTCTACCTTGTGTAACTCTTGCGCCTTGTATTGATCAACAATAGTATAAAAGTACAATGATTTTTTAAATTTCTAAGAATTTCACAAAAAAACGAAGTTTGGTGCCAAATGGTTACACCTAAATGTTGAGGTTATGAGAACCATCATCTGCCAAAACTTTGGCGTCTTCTTAATTGTTTTGTTAACCTTTAGTGACCAGGGTTTAAAGTTTTAACTCACACTCAGACCGTATTTTACCTATTGAAACTTGTAGCACAGCTGGTCACCATATGTCATTTATGATTTTAGACTGTGTAACGGAAGTTACGTGAGATAGATCATACTAAAAGAAAATGGATGTCGGTGTTAAACAGGCTCTTGTCTTGTCTTTTTCGGAGACATAATATCACTCTCACTCGTCTTTTATATATATATATATATATATATATATATATATAAGGTTTTATTGAAATTTTATAGACGATCCGCTTAGGTGAAACCTTGGTAGGTTTGTCTGGCTCTTTGGGTTTAACTTGGTTTGCTCTACTTAGAGTATTGAGCACTTTAACTAGTTATTTTGTTTACACGTATCGGGTCTTTTTTTTCTTTGGACTCTGAACTTGGATGCTAGACGATTGTCTTCAGCTGACGTATATGTTCTCTGTTCTATTTTTTTTTTTGTACCTTTTTCCCTTTGGTATTCATTTGTTTATTTACAAATCAAGGCACCTAAGGTTTTCCGGAAGAGTATAATTTCTTATATTTATAAGATTATTACTTTTATATATATATATATATATATATATATATATATATATATATATTGTGTGTATTTAGGCAGCATTTTTTTCATTCATACATGTTTTCATTAAATAATATAGACAAGTGTTGTCTATTTATTTTATGTAAATTCTTTTTGTTTAAGGATAATGTTATTGCTTTATCAGACGTTATGAAAAGAATTTACATAAAATAAATAGACAACACTTGTCTATATTATTTAATGAAATATATATATATATATATATATATATATATATATATATATATATATATATATATAGTAAAGGTAACAAATCCGTTGGTATATAATCCAAGTGGATCCTAGTAATATATTAGGTTGGTGCAAAAATTATGACGTAATAATGTCGTTTTTTGATGTATTTTTAACGTCAAAAAACGACATTATTACGTCATTATTTTTGCACCAACCTAATAAAATATTAAACTGATCCACAAAAAGAGCTCAATGTATTTATTATTACAAAGCAAATAATTAATAAACAATAAAATCAAAAAAATCAACTCATATGGAGAATAAGCTTATTCCGGCAGAGGAAAATATAAGTCGTCTGTCTTTATCAACTCCGGTATGAACTGAGTTCGTGTCAGAAATAGAAATTTAACAGTGAAAGCAAAAAAAAAAAAAAAAACACGGTCGACAAAATAAACAGAATTTATCCATTTCAATGTTTCATTCAGACGGAAGGCATGAGTTAGAGGTCAGGGAAGGGCCTCGCATGTTTCATGTTTCAGTAGAAATTCATCAGAGCCCGTTGGTTTTGTTAACCCAAGTACTTTCGATCTCCTCCGAGATCATCCTCACGGGTGATTTTTTTTATAAACACGCGTGAACGCGGTCAGTTATAATTATTTTAAAATTAAAAAAAAAAATTATCCACAAAAAAATCACAACATCTTTCTTCGGAATTCACCCCTGAGGGTCAGTGGTTAATTGGTTAAATGAATGGCTTGTAAATTCAAACACCCCCAAAACAAAACTGCTTTAATCTAATCACCAAAAAGAACCTTTTCTGCCTACAATGGCTGTTGCTAAACTCCAGGTGAACAACTCTCTACGACTTCTTGGACTCACGTTTTCCAATGGCATGAAGTTGAGGGACTACATTGAATCAATTGCTATGTCTATTGGAAGGAAAGTTGGTTCTCTGTGTCGTGACAGACTATTCTTCTCATCATAATTTGTCTTGCATATTATAAATCTACCTTTTGTCCGTGCATTGAATGTCGCTACCATATTTTGTATGGTGATCCTACTATATATCTCAAGATTCTTGACAAAATTCAAAGAAGTGCTTGTAATGTAATCGATCCTGATCTGGCATCTCGACTTCAATCACTTTCCCACCAACGTGACATGACTTCCCTCGGACTTTCCTACAAATATTTTCATGGCAATTGTTATGATGAGCTGTTCTAAATGCTGCGTCTGCACTTAAGTGTGCTACTAGATTGGCAACTAGGTCTCCCCGTTTTAATGTTGAACTAGCTAGATGCAGCCACCAGTTCTATCCTAATGGTTTCTTTCCTCGCACTTCTCACCTGTGGAAATCCCTTCCGATTTCTTGCTTCCCTGCCAACTACAGTTTTCAAAACTTTAAATACAATGTCAATCGCTATCTTCTGTCTTCCTGAATTCTGTCTTTTTTTATCCTTTTCCTCACTTCTTCACACTAAAGCTTTCTCATGTTCTTTCTCTCCGTGCGTCTTAGTAGCTTTGTCGCCTTGATTGGGGTGAAACGATTAAAAACTCATATTTTTATTGGGGAAAATTTTACTTGTGACGCGTTTCGTCCTTCAGGACTTCATGGGACGAAGGATGGAGGAAACGCATCACAAGTAAACCTTTTCCACTTTGTCATACAATTTCCCCAATACTGTTCTTGGTATATAAAATATATATCTTAATCTCATATATATTTATAATTATTCATATATATGTGTGTGTGTGTGTGTCTCTGTGTGTGTGTGCGCGCGTCTGTGTGTTTATACACTAATTAGTACGCCTTTAAAAGTACACAAGTTTAGTTCCACTAGTTCACACCTTTTACAACTAAGACCCGCCATATTTCCCAAGAACTCCTACTTTGTGAAACAGCCTCACTCTCGAAACTATGAACGTTACAAACTTACCCATTTCAATTCTACGGTTTAGTATTATCTTTCCTACACCTCCTCATAATCTATAATCCTTACTTCCTCCTCTTACGTTCATACAACTTCTTCATTCAGTAAATCTCTACCTTGAGTACCTCTTGAGACTTGTGTTTGGCAAACGATTCATTAAAAAACTATTTTTCTTTTTCTTTGTAGTAACCTCTTCTTTCTTTGGTATTTTTTTTTTTATTTCGTTCTTGTTACTTTTTTAATTCTTTTATTCCTTCTCCTGCCAACGAAAGAGGACAAATCGATGTTTGTTCACAAAAGTTTTGAATAAATCTCGAACATATTTTGTTGAAAGAAAGGCCATGATTCTAAGAACAGGTTCAATTTTCGAATGATTGCAACTAATTTTTCGATCGAAACATATTTCATATATTAAGGCAATAGTTCAAAATATATTGAAAAGGTCCAAACTGACATTGCATTGTATCGCTCTATGAACGCATTTTCATTCAGTTTTTTTTTTTTTTTAGTGAGAATGTCGTTAAGCAGAGATATACCCTCTCCGAGTGCTTTCCATTTTATTCCTTTGTTTGTATTCATCATATAGGAAGAAAATGAGTAACTACCGACACCGAGGTTCGAGCGTGACACTTTGGACTTATGAATAAATGTTTTCTGCCAGGTGTATAATTAGGGGTGTCAGGTTACTGACTGCAGTGATTGTTGAGTGGCTATTGAGTGGAACTATCCAGTCGAATTAGTGTGAATTATTGTGCATCAATGATTTGGGGTTTTGATTTAGGATTTACCGGGCGTTAAGCTGAGTCGCACTGCCAACAAGGTATTCACTGAAATGGTTAATTAACTTTAGTTGACTTTTACTTCTTTGTTCTTGTTAAGTATTTATTTGCGATTGTAATTAAATACTCTTTTATTTTAACATTGAATCTTGAGTTATAGTTTATCATTAACGGTCACCTTACATCACAAAAGTATTATATTTCCATTTTCTTTTCTTAAGACGAATCTTACGTTCACTTGACTGTTTTTTTATTGTATTTTCTTTATGTACCTTTCTTCATCTTCCCATTTAATTCTTTCGTCATTCTTTTCTTATTTTTGATCCTGTTGGATGTCTAGCCATCCACCGCAACAGGCAAGCCTGATGGGGAAGCCGGTTAATCACTGATCATCCGACAATTTTTTATTTATTTGTTTTAAGCCCGCCTCCAAAAAAAAACAAACCCAACAAATGATGGAAAAAAATTATCATAGAAAAGATATTTGAAGTTAAATAAGCATTAAATAAAAACATAAAATAAAAAGAAATAAAATAAAAAATAAAAATAAATAAAATAAATATAAAATAATAAAAAAATTTAAAAAAATATAAAAAATAAAAATAAAATAAAATAAAAATAAAATAAATATAAAAATAAAATAAAATAAAAATAAAATAAAATGAAAATAAAAAAAAAATAAAAATAAAAATAGAAATAAAATAAAAATAAAATAATAAAAAATAAAAATAAAATAAAATAAATATAAATATAAATATAAAAAATAAAATAAAATTAAATTAAATTAAAAATAAAATGAAAATAAAAGAAATCCTTGAAAATTGTGCAAGTGTTAAACAAAAATGTCCAAAAGACTGTGAGGAAAATATCCGACAAAAAAAAGATATATTAAAATAAATCGGACTTTAATTAAACATTATAATAATCCAAGTTTATAAATCTCTATTTATTCAATAACACGGTTCTTCTTCTTCTTTTATGTACCGTGTCCCTTCAGGACGTAGTTGATCATGGCTCTCTACTTCTTCCTGTCCTTTGTAGCTGTCAATAAGTTCTGACTTTTTGTTATTTCTCCTAGATCTTGTTCTGCCATCCACTTACTAAAGCCAGTTAAGTCACGCATTGTTTTCTATTGTCCCTCTTTCCCTCTATCTGCCCTGTGAGTATCAGATTTTCCAAGCCCTCCTTTCTCATTAAGAGTCCCAGAAATTCCAGCTGCCTCTTCCTGATGTTAAGTATAAGCTTCCTCCTTGTTTGTATCCTCTCCAAAATCTCATCGTTGCTCACATGTTTGGTCCATGGTATCCTCAGCATCTTTCTGTAGAACCATACCTCAGTTGCCCCGTGTATCTTTTTCATCTTTGACGAGACCGTTCAACATTCGCTGCCGTAAAGGAGGTCAGATATCACGTAGCAGTTCTGTACTCTTTTCTTTGTTACCAACGAAATCCTCCTGTCTCGTAATACTCTGCCTAGCTTTTCGAATACGTCTTTGGTCATCCCAATACGTCTTCGAACCTCAGCGTCGCACTTTCCGTCTACTGTCAGAACACAGATATTTAAATTTCCGCACCTACTTGATTTTAGTGTCCCCGACCTATAAATCGCATTTCGGGCTCATCTTTCTGACTGATGACCATGCATTGTGTCTCCTTGTAGTTTATACTTAGTCCTTTCTTCTTGCTCTCCTTCGCTACCTTCTTTAGGAGGTAAATCAATAAACTATATTGTATTTTTCTTATTATACCTATATATGCATACATGCATAAATCTTACCACTATATATTTTATATTAAGCGGATAGAGGCGTTTGAATAGACCTCTAAATTTTTTTCAGCGGTATATTTTCGTTTACCGTCTTGGGTCTTTCGAGAATCTTTAACCGGAAGAAAGGGCACATTTTCCCTGGTAAAGATTTTCGAAAAACCCCAGACCAGAAGATAAACGTATACTGTTTCAAAAAATTAACATTACTCAATGACGTATATCCACTAAATATTAGTTTGACCAAAATCTTCGTTGGGTAGAAAATTGACTTAGTAAAATATTTTGGCCAACCTAATATACTTATATTAAATATGTCAATAACAAATAATACAAGACTGTAGAATAAAAACCCATTCATTTCTTTAAAATTATATACATATATGCATAGATATATACACTGGGTGTATTTGAGCAGAAAGGTTTCATCGATACAAGTTTGATTAAATTCAAAAAAAGTCCTTAGATAAGGATATTTTTTTGTTGATGTTGTTTATTTTTCTAGATTACAGACCATTTTCCTTAATTCAGGTGAGAATTTAAATATAAATTATTATGAGCAGTTTCGACATTTATATATAAAAAAAAGGTTTGGCTTTGGGCTATTTCATTCGGGCTTTTTTTTTTTTTTTTTTTTGCTCCTTGCATGGAATACTGCTGCCATATATAGTCTGGTGCTGTTCGTCTCGAGGTCCTCGACAAAATCCAGAGACGGATATGCAACGTGATTGGTCTTGATCTGGCATCTCGTCTACAGTCGCTCTCTCACAGACGTGCTGTGGCTTCCCTCTGTCTTTTCTGCAAGTACTTTCATAGTAACTGCTCCGACGAGCTACTTTCACTGGTTCCCAAACTGCATGAATTTAAGCGTGCTACTAGGTTGGCATCTCAGTCCCACCCTTTCACTGTCGAAACGGCTAAATGTGGGCAAATATTCTATTCCAACAGCTTCTTATCTTGCACCTCCTGTCAATTGAACTCCCTTCCTATCACTTGCTTCACTGATAATTATAACCTTCAAATATTCAAATGTAATATCAATCGACATCTTCTGATGCATTGATCCCTGTCCTTCTTTTTATCGTTTTCCCAAACACTACTCTTTACTCTTACTCTCAATCTCTGTAACTCCTTGCGTCTTCGTGGCACTCCCGCCTTGTTTGGGGTGATTTGCTTAAAAAACATTACGGACCATTTTCCTTAATTCAGATGAGAATTTAAATATAAATTGTCCGATGCCTGCATTTATAAAAAAAAAAAATGTTTGGTTCGCACCCTCGGTCACGATGACTGGTAAGTTCGTGCTAACACAACCAACGACGGCTTCCGAACAGCTCCACCTACCCACTTCACTCAAAAAACTGGGGTCAACTCGTGGTATGGTTTCCAGGAACATTCCAAATGTGCTGCACGCTAAGATCGCCGATAACATCAAGAATTCACTTTCACCTGCTATCATGATTGAACAGCGTACGCCAAAACCTCTTGGCTACATATATTTTCACCTTGGATATAAGAAGATAGATGCGGACAAACTGACGCAGAAGAGAAAGAAAGAAAGAAAGAAAGAAAGAAAGAAAGAAAGAAAGAAAGAAAGAAAGAAAAGAAAAGAAAAGAAAAGAAAAGAAAAGAAAAGAAAAGAATTACATATGGATATATAATTTTATATGGATACTTCAAAGAAAACACGTGTCATATTAGTCATTTTGGGGTGAGTTCATTTAAAGAACCCTCTTCGCTGGTTCGGAAGGAAGTGGGTTCATTCCGGCGGTTGCCTTGAGGCAAAATAAAAACAAAGAAAGAGAAACTGAATATTCACGGGGTGGGGGAGGTGCCGACCGATTATGTGTTCGTTCATGTTTGCAGGATTCCAACCGTTGCTCAAACAGCACGTTTCTCTTTTTGCCAAGAGACTGTTTTGTCTCTATTCGGACCCACCCCCACCTTCACTTCATTAATAAGGTGGGTATTTGAGATGTCTTAAACTGTACAAACGCTTTTTCGTCCCTTTCTTATCCGTGTTACTAATATTAAAGAAATGGGCAGCTAACGAAACGGTTACATCAATAAGTACATAGACTGACACGCAATTATTAACTGAATTTTGATTTTAAATTTTCACAGTATAATGTTCAATCTATGAAGTGCATTGGCGAGGAAGGTAATATCTGTTGCTTTACCGACGTATAGATCTGCCTAATACACACACACACACACACACACACACACACACACACACACACACACACACACACATATATATATATATATATATATATATATATATATATATATATATATATATATATATATATATAAATGTGGATATTGAAGTCAACACTCAGTGGCAACAGACTCATGTTAAACACAATCGTCACAACATGCAGGTTTTATTCGTGTTAAATCTGGCCTTAAAAGGTACGCGATAACCCCAGATGTGCAATATATCGACTAGGCAACACTCTGTACGAATGTAGGTTTAAAATAAGCCCAATATACTCTGGAGAATTAATTATAGATTAATTAAACCAGATCAGTTCTAATTCTAATAGAAACTGAAATTGACATGACACTATAAAATTGTTTAAGGTTTTATTTGATTTAATATTTAAATTTAATTTTAATTGAGTTTTTAAACTATTTGAATTTATTTAGTATTTAATTTAATATATAATTGATCCGCTTTGAACTCTGAAGGTCACGTGGCCGCCCGTCGTTTATTTTAACAATGAAATACTATTGTAAAACAAACAAAACCCGATAAATCCTAAAATACTTAACTCGGCCTTTCTTCGATTATAGGTCAATTCAGAACACAAACAAACCTAATCCGGTTTTTTTTTTCCAATAAAAACTTTTATTTAACCACTTAATTTGGTATAAACTACCTTCGTATACAGTCTACGTTGATCGCGTAAATTTTCAGCGTAACTTTAAAAAAATCATAAGACATTAAATTATTTGTAACTAAATGCACATATTGTTGAGAATTGAGAATTCGATATGTAACCATTGAATTAAAACACAGAAACGGTGTTAGCACTGCCATGTTCTTTTTTTCCTGTGACTTTTCGTATGATTTTTTTTTACCTGGATTCATAGAGATCTGGTTATATATATATATATATATATATATATATATATATATATATATATATATATATATGCCTTAAAGCATGTCACTCACTGAACTAATAAGTCTCCAAAACATCACCAGCGACAACGGAATCAACAATTAATTCTTCATTTACTTGGTCATACTCGGATACGAGTTAACTTCCCACCATGTATATATATATATATATATATATATATAAGTGTGTGTGTGTGTGTGTGTGTGGATATTATCGACACAGGAATCAACACAGCATTATGACTGTTTTCAGACATAACTATAAACGCTCTATCTGCCTATCTATAGGGCGGCATTCAAGATACCTCCTGGGGAGGGCCCTTGATTGGGCCTTCATCACAATAGGTAGGGAGGAGTAGATGGGATAAGCAACCATAAACTACAGAAGAACTCAAAATTGATCACTGCATTAATATTTAAGCTTACCTTTTAAAAGTTCAATGATAATTCTTCTGCTGCCACTTAATTTAAAGATAATTTGATGTACGTAGGTTCTTACTTTCCTTACAAACAATTATTTTTATTGTGACTTTCGCTAGATTTCGCAATTAGTTTCAATTGTTCCCAAATTTATTTCCAAGTTATAAAAATTGTTATCGCATAAAAAATTAATCGCAAAAATCACGTAAAAATCGCCGAAAACAATCGCAGTAAGGAAAAGTAAAATTTCAGAATTGCGAGTTCGAATCCGACCCGGAATGGTTTTTAATTTTCTCACGGATTCGGCCTGATTCCAAAATGGTATGATATGTTGGGCTAATACGGACAATTTTATTTTGAAACACTGTAATTTGAGAACATCATTTTTTTTTTCATTTGAACATGAGGTGTGCCTCTTTAATTACTTTTTTATCATTAGAAGCCAAGATGGCGGAATCCGAAAACAATCGCAGTAATTAAAACTTCGAAATCCAAAATTTCATGATTACGGATCCGCATCCAGCCCGAAATGTTTTTAATTTGTTCACTGAGTCGGCCTGATTCCAAAATGGTATGATATGTTGGGTTATGGCCTCTAGGAGAAAAGTTGAAAAAGTGTGACATAGTGACACACTGATATACGCATTTATCATATAGATTTGAAGCAATAATGCACATACATGCAGATAGATAGATAGATAGATAGATAGATAGATAGATAGATAGATAGATAGATAGAAATCAAAACATGAAAAATAAAGATACTGTTTTGGACACTTCACGTGACATCAAAATATAAGATTTTTTTCGAACTGACCTCCTTCTTGCATAACAGGAAAGTAGACTTTTTCATTGCGCATTATACATTTGATAAATATTGTAGCCTAGATTCGACGAAACGTTGTGCATCAAAAACACAGAGCATCATTTGTCAAACAAATTTTTCTGAGCATGTGCGTTAAATGTTTCCGTGCATAACTGTATGTCGATATTCGTTTCTGTTCCGCTGTTTGTTTATGTGTTATCTTTTTAACCAAGGAAATTGTTAAGCGATCTCATCTCCAGAAAAGAGAGAGAAAAAAACTGTTCAAGCAATAATATAAGCTTCAACAATGTTTTAAAGTGTTTGCGTGCGTTGTTTTCCTTATTAAAATGATTCTGTTAAGCTGTCCTTTGCGGCGGAAGTTGCAAAGCCAGAGGCTATGCTGACACAGTTCAATATGGCGGAAAAAAACGGCGGAAGTATGAAAAAATGCTGTTAGGGATTATTTGGATGGTATTTGGGGCTGCTGTTTCGTGGGAATTTTCTGAATATCGCCTACGCATGACAATTAGAATTGGCCGTGCTGCACCCTAACATTCGATAAGAAACTGAAGAAGCGAGATGTATGGGGAGTGAGAGAGAAAGCAATGACAGTGGAATAAAAACGAGGGATAAGACGGAGGCGGAGTTCAAGAAAGAAGAAAAGAAGTAGAAAGAAATAAGAAAGAGAAAAAACGAGAATGAAGAGCGAAGTTGAAAAAGGACAAACAAAAAGAAAGGTGTAGTAAAAACATAAGTAACAAAAGAAAGAATGAAATTATGAAAGAGAAAATAAATGAAAGAGCAGAATAACAAAACAATACTAACTAGTATTACTAACTAGTAATTACTAAGAAATTACTAACTAGTCTTAGCCGAAAGAATAACGGTTTTCCTATTTGAATTTCCTGATGAATCTTAATTTTTACGTTAATGACAGAGAAAGCTCCTTGCAAGTTCTACGACTATAAAATAATAATGCAAATTTCCCTATTGCGTCGTTATTATTTTTAATAAATTGAACTAAGCAAGGTGATAAGGCCATTAAGACGCCTTTATCTAACCAACGCTTTTATCCACTGTGCCATGTGTCCTCTAGTGAATAAAGGCGTTGTTTAGATCTACTGACAGGACCCAAAGAGTGTGAGTTCATTTTGAGGGAATTTTAAGAAGCAGATACCGACAATTTTTTTTTTAAATATTAGCGTGTTCGGCAAATAATTACGCTTTATCAGAAAGGACGTAAACAAAGAAAAATTTAAGTGTTTGTCTATATCCACTGTGCCATGCGTCCCCAAGGACACATAGCACATTGGATAAAGGCGTTGGTTAGATCCAGTGACAGGACCCAAAGAGCAGTGAGTTCAATACCTGGGTAAGGCAGTAGAGAATTTGGAGAGGGGAAATAACTGATAACTGAATCCATTAAACATGGAACGTGCCATGTTTAATAGTTGTCAGTTATCTCCTGTTAATTTCCCTCTCCAAGTTTTCCACCGTCTTAACCAAGTATTGACATCCATCAGACATGACACCTGGAACTAGAACAGTGTACCCCAGTGAGCGAAATAAAGGGTTCAGTTCGATATTCCAACCACCTGAAGATGGACAGGGCATACAACGGCCGAAACGTTGTAATAATAAACATGGCGACAAAGATGAGGACAATAGTCCGAATAATGTAAATAGTGTACATAATACCTCCTCTCAAAAATATAGACAGACAGAAATCCAATAATAGTATAAATTTCAGAGTTTAGCTGGAGATGTTAGAAGTATAAAGTTGAAGGAGAATTTAGAACGAATCAGAAACCCAATCCTAAAAAGGAAACAAAGAATAAACATCTACTCCTGTTCAAAAGACCGGAGAGGAGTGTGAACCGGACGATTTGCGAACTTATTTTCTCGTATCATTTTGAACTTAACAACTTTCACAAAATATTGCAATAACAATCACTAGTCTGAATGCAAGTCATTATTTAAAGAAATAAGAAGGTAAGAATGTAAAGTTTTAAAACTGACTAGGTTTTCCATTTCAATGAAGCAGGCGTTAAGCCCATGAGAGCTTATTAGCTATATCTGCTCTCTTTCTTTCTTTGTTTTTCCCACTGAAACAGCCTCTCTGATATGTCTTTTCTGTTTTTCCCCGCAATCAGAATGAAATAATCCGTTATTTATATGGTATTTGCAATGTGTAGCGTACGTCCTCATTAACTAAGGAACAAATAAAATTATATAATGATACAGTATATAGCTCATTCGGTTTTCAGCAGTGTAACAATTTTTTTCTGAACACAGCCACTTTTAATATTAATTATTTCTTAATACGACTTCCTTTATAGGCCATCTGCCCTCCGGAAGTGGATGATCATAATTCTACATCCTATCATTTTTAGCTCTGAGCAATATGTCTCCTCTTACACTTCCCGGCCTCTTTCTTTTTTACTTTTTTTTTTTTTTTTTTTTTGTTATACATTCACATAGTTTTCTGCGATACATTCGCAACATTTCCCATGGTTCGTCTTAATTTCAGCATGTCCTGTGAGTGTCAAATTTTCCAAGCCCTTTTCTCGTTACGTGCCTTAGAAATATCAACAGTCTCTTTCTGATTCTAAATAAAAGTGTCCATTTTGTTTCTATTTTCCCTAACGCTTCCGCGTTGCTTACATGCTCCGTCCCTGGGATCATCAGCAATATTTTTTAGCATCTCCGCTGCCTCAAGTCATGTGTGTGGAAGCTGTTCAGCGTTCACTGTCATATCGGAGGACCAATATTACATAGCAGTTCAACACTCCTTTCTTTATTTCTGACAATATTTTCATGTTCCTTAATACTTTGCCTAGCTTTTAAAAGTTTAGAACTTTAGGCTACTAGATTTTTTAAAAGCTTGTTGCATTGCTGAAAAGTGAATCATATAATTCTGCTAGTTCTTTAGTTAATTAATTAGAACGTACGCTACATCTTGCAAATACAACATGAATAATAGATTATTTCATTTTGATTGCGGGGGAAGACAAAAAACATTTCAGAGATGCTTTTTGGTTTCAGTGGGGAAAAAACAAAGAAAGAAAGAAAGTGAAATAATATCGATGATAATGCTGTCATGCGTTTAACGCCTGCTTCATTGAAATGGGAAACCTTGTCAGTTTTAGATCTTTATATTCTTACCTTCTTATTTCTTTAAGTAATGACCTAGATTCAGATTTGTGATTGTTTTTGCAATATTTTGTGAACGTTGTTAAGCTCAAAACAATGGGAGCACATAACATATCATCCGGTTCACAGTTATCCCCGGTCCATTCTTATATAAAAAAATTCTATCGTATATTTTCAGCGTTTGAACAAACTTTTTTTTATATATAAGAATTTTTTGTAACACGCTGAAGCGTGTTGAAATCATCACAGCATTTAGTATTGTTGAAGTTATCGCTAACATTTTTGTCAAGATTTACAAACTCTACATTTCCTTCAATTTCGCAAAACAATCAATGACATTTGAATTAACTGATTTGTTTAGAAAAATACTTTGACAAAACCCTACCTTACGGTTTAATAATTCCTTTAATTTCATTTTATAAGACTTCATGGTAAACAATATTTTTTAAGACGTTCTTAGGATTTTTTACTCTTGAGCATGCAGCATACAACTGGCCATGCGTAAATATTTCTTACTGGAGCCAAATTTCAAATTTTTGACGCGGTTCGTCTTGTGGTTTGTTTGTAGTTCTCGCAAACGCAGGGCCAACTGAAAACTGGATTCTTGTCCATTTGAGAAGATATTCGGATGGTTTCGGAATAATATTTATTTTATAATAATACCTCTAACCATCTGAAACTCTCCCTACTGTGTTTATATGTATAGGGTTACTACTGTGTATTTTACCAGAATTAAATGCATATCAAAAATGAAAGAAAAGATATGTAAAAACAATATTGCATTTTTTATTAAATAAGTCAGTCAGTTATGTGCCATGAGTGATACACGTTTAGGCGAACTTGTATCTTTCAATACATGACTGATGAGGCAATTTTTCCCGCCATTCCTTTCTACGGTAGATCAGTTTGCCATCCAAGGCTATAGAACCCGGTTTGTCATGCTATTTACCCATAGCGAGAGAGAGAAGAAAAGGATTTATACCTTTCCCAAGGGTATTAGCACGTAAGTGAATGTAATGGATTTGACTGGAATTCGAACTCAGTTCTCTGATTCCTCAGTAGTTTGCCATTTCTTTCTGTGGTAGACTAGCTGCCATCCAAGGCTATAGAACCCGGTCTGTTCTGCTATTTACCAAGGGTATTATCACGTAAGTGAATGTAATAGATTCGACTGGAATTCAAACTCGGCTCTCCGATTCCTCAATCCGAGCCGCTATCCATTACTCCACCGTCATTAAATTATTTTTAAAATAGTGTATGTTGTATGTTAAATAATAAAACTTTTAATTTTTCCAAAAAAAAAAAAGAAAACTTATTCTACTAAGTTACGCACTCTGGTAAAACCAATTGTACTTTGTACCCCTTTTACTGTTTTCACTTCTCCCCAGAATCTGGTTTTGATTGATAAATGTATGATTCTTTTAGAGGGTGTGACGGACGGACGGACTAACAGAAGTCACAGAAGTTTATATATAGATAGATGAAAGCTATTCCAATGCGCCTTCAGATTTCGAAGTCACATTTTCCATCCTCAGTTAAAACACTTGCCAGATATTTAAATGATCGTACTTACTTGATTTTGACATCCCCAATTTGTAATACGCATCTTGAACTGTTCCTTTTGCTAACAACCATACAATCTGTCTTTTTTATAGTTGATGATTAATCCTTTCTTCTCGTTTCCTTTTACCAATTTCTGTAGTAGTTGCTACAGTTTCCTTTCTGTATTTATTTTCAAATCAGTGTCATTAGCGTCATCTAATTTTCTTAAGTTTGTGTCCGTCAATAATAAATCCTGGCTAGACTTCCAATTCTCTTTAAATCGAAACGCTGTATAGGTTGAATAAATTCAATGTCTTGTGCCCTTTCGATTTTTTTTCTATTTGGTCAATTTATTTTTCA